AATAAAAAATACTAAACAAAAGTTACTAAACAAATTCTCTCTAAATGCAAAAAATAAACTTCCAGTATGTCATAAATGTGGAAAAGTTGGTCATTTTAAAGTCTTAATTCTATTTTTTAATTGATTTACTTTTTTTTTGACTTCTTTGATTTCTTGTTTTAAGTCTGAAATAGAAAGTTCTTTATGTTGGGAGGTATGTTGTTCACCAACTCTTTTCATAATAGAGGCAAAACTGTATTCATCAGGTGTTTTATTAATTGGAGGTGTTTTTGCTTTTGTTTTAGTTAATGTAATAAATTTGGTGATTACAGATCTTTTTTCTTCGGGATCTGTAATTTTTTCAATAATATCTAATATTAGATTATCTTCTTGAGTAAGCATATGAAGATTATGTGTAGGTATAGGACAATTACAATTGGATGTTTCCATTGGATTGGATGATTCTGTGTTAATCTTTCAGCACATATTTCTGCTGAAAGTTCTCCAAGTGTATATGTTGAGTATACTATAATTCCATTATGTTTCTTTCTAAGTCTATCTTTGACTTTTTCTGTAAATAAATAGGGTAGACCAGCAATAAATTTTTCTTTCCAATGGTCTAATTGACAATCTTCTCGTATTAACAATATTGAGAAAAAGACATCCTTATACCATTTATAATGGGATAATGTAGGACAACGAAGGTTAGATAGCAGATCTTCTGATCTTGCTGCTAATAAGGCCGTACTTCCTACAAAATAATGTAATGGTATATATTAAGGTGTTTACTGCATCACTTTGATTGAATCTTTTGTTGGATCAAGGGATCCTGTATTTGTTCTTCTATATATTTATATTTAATTTCTTGTTTTAGAGTACAAAGAAATTTTTCTTTATTATGTAACTGAGGGTGCGGTTTCTATAAGGTTGCAACTTTAAAGAATCCAATTAAGGCGTACTTCTAAATTTTATCATAACATGTGATTTTGTTGTAAATTTTTTTTAAGATTATCTTAAAAATTATTTTTATATCTAATTAGAAAATTTTAAACTTTAAAATTGGTTAAAATCAAGTAGATCTAAAACATATGAAAATTTTGAAAATGGACGGTATAGATAATGTGTTGCAAGGTGCACTATTTTTGGAACTCAAAAACTTTTTTTTTTTAATATTCATACATCTCGATGTCGAGATGATCAATTAAATCGTTTTTCAACATTAAAATAGCTTTTTCGATAGATTTTTTAGGTGCATCTGTGATTCTACATTTTAAGGTTGCAACTTTATATAAATTTTTTCCATATATATATATATAACTTTATATAAATTTTTCCATATATATATATATATATAGAGAGAGAGAGAGAGAGAGAGAGAGAGAGAGAGTATAGC